TGTGCCTCAACCCTGCCGTATGCATTTTGTAATACCATCAAGTTGTCAATCAACTAATTATCCCATGCTCCTCTCTTAAAGTCTTTTATCATTTGGAATCCATGGTTTTCTGGTGTCAGGAAATGCTGAAACCTGTCCACTTAGAGTGGTGTGGGAAGAGATGACACAAAGAGATGACATGATCTGTATCATGAGGTCACACCAAGGATCCAAAGAAGGGAAGTCCTTACCGTATGTTTGCACATAAACTAATAAACCCACTTCCGTCCTGGATTTGGGATGCTCAGCCAATCAGAGCGCCAGTCTGTCCATGCTATCATGCAGCCTTGTGATGGAAAGGAGGGGGCAAGGCCTGCCTTAGACAGTGCATCTCAGATGCCAGCAAGCATATTGCTGTTTACCTCTGCTTCTGAGGACTTCAGCAGTTTCCAAAACTCTTCCCTTTCTCCTAGGCGGGATTGACAATGGCAGGCAAGCTTAGTCCTAAACAGGAAATGAGACGGTACCAAGTGTTGGCCCAAAACTCAGTCTTTCCCTCTCACTGGCTATGATGGCCCACACTGGACACCAGGGTGATCAGGTTGAAAAAAAAGTTCATTAACACATGCCGGCCTTAAGAAACCCTGCCTCTGGACAAGGAAGGGGCTGTGGAGACACAGTGACCAGAGCAGCGGAACAGTTTCTGACAGTGTTGGGTGTGGTGGCCCCCTCCGCACCTGTGTTTGGAGGAGGGATGAACACGGCCAAGTTCCTCCAAGATTCCTCGGTGTGTTGTTCTGCTCAGCCCTCTCCTCAACCGCAGAGGGTGGGCATGTTATTCCCCTCTCATCCAGAATCAAAGATTTAGGGAATGGGGCCAAGTGACTCATGAACACACAGATCAGAGCAGCATTGCCTCAACTCAAGTCTGGTCCGGAAGACTGCACACCCTAGAGTCCCTCCATTTCCCTGTCCCAAGGCTTGCATCTTGAAAAGAAATTGACAACAAACCATGACTTCTATGATTGCAGATAGTGTTTACAGGGTGCTTGCTGCAAGTTGGGTGTCTGACTTACACATCCCATTCGGTACCTGCAATAATCCTACACGGAATGGGCACTCCTTCATGACAAGACACCTGGTTCACTGAGTGGTTAGATGCTCGGCCGGGGCCTTGTGGACTGTAGATCATATTTCTGACCTTTGACCCTCCAGTAACTGTAGCCTTAAACTATATAGACTGACAGCCCAATACAGTAACTTCTGGGACTAACATCGCTCCTCAAAGAGTTTCCTTTTCCTACTCAGTGATCACCTCACAGCCTGCAAGAGCTCACTGTCTGCCCTCTTCCTCCTAAGGCTGGAACCCCCAGGCATAGATCTTCTGGGAGATAGACGGCACAGAGCTTTAGGTGACTGATGGCTGTCCATTCTGTGCTGGGACAATGGTCTCAGCATCCATGGGCTGTGGACCAGTGAGGCCCTGCTTTCCACATTCCAGGTCTGTAAGGTAAGGTCTCTGCCGATGGTGAAATTGGCTGGATGACTGATTTATTGGATTCACTAGCCCTGCAGTGTTTCCACAGCACCAGACAGAGCAATGGAGGTCAGTAAATGCGTATTTACAGAGATTTCCTCTGTTGTCACCCGGAGACAGCGTAGGTAAAAAAGGGGTGCTTCTCCTTTCTTTTCATAGCTAGACTAGTCTGGCCTATCTACTACACAGCCTCCAATAAGGGCCTTCCCAGGGCTCAGTTTCCTTCTCAGGGACAGGGGAAACAATGTGCTCTCCAGTGTATTTGTTAGGCTTTGATAAAAAGGTGTCTGCCGCAAAGTAAGTCCTCAGCGGAGGAGGAGTTTCTCCCTGTGTTCTCCCCACACTCGCCCTCCATCACACGATGGCTATAAACAAAGGCTGTGCCATCCAGGCAGTACTCCCCGGGGCAGCTCCCCAATGGAGCCCTTGAAGATACGGATGCTGGCACTGGAAAGAGGACTTAGCAGTTAACACCTGCTTCTCTTCCGGGGAACCAGGGTTTGGTTTCCAAGGCTCACACTGGAAGACTCACAGCCAACTACAGTCCCAACTTCAGGGAACTGAATGCCCTTTTCTGGCCCTTACAGGTGACCACATGCATGTACCTACCCCTACCCACCTTGGGAGGCAAAACTGATGCTGATATTTGTGTCCTGGCCTAGTCCCTGACTTGCAGGTTGGTGTCAGTCAGGTCACCTAGCCTGTCCAAGCCTCAGGTTATTTATTTATTTATTTTGTTTCATTGCTTTCTTTTTGAAGTGAAAATATTTGGTCTAAATGATTGCTGGTTTGGATCGGGAAGATCCTTCAAACACCCGAACGCAGGCGCCCACAGAGCCCAGGGTGTGGGGTCGTGCCTGCCTCCACCTCAGTTTAGCCCATGCTAACAGGTAACACACTCCCTCCTCAGCTCTTCTTTATTTGAAACTGGAGGTAGAGAGAAAAATTTCACTAAGCATTTTAGGTTTGTTTAAATAAAAAAAAATAAGAAAAGCCTCTTAAAAGTTAAATAGAAAAAAGGGGATGGGGGAATTTGGCTCACAGGTATTGAGAGAAAATCCTAATTCAATTATTACTTGTTTTGAGCTTTGTCTTACATTTTTGCTTTGTGTGTGATTGATCTGGTAGTTACATGAGTTAATTTGCTTCTTTTGTTTAAATAAAAAAATAAGAAAAACCTCTTAAAAGTTAAATAGGAAAAAGGGGATGGGGGAATTTGGCTCACAGGTATTGAGAGAAAATCCAAATTCAATTATTACTTGTTTTGAGCTTTGTCTTACATTTTTGCTTTGTGTGTGATTGATCTGGTAGTTACATGAGTTAATTTGCTTCTTTTGTTTAAATAAAAAAATAAGAAAAAACCTCTTAAAAGTTAAATAGGAAAAAGGGGATGGGGGAATTTGGCTCACAGGTATTGAGAGAAAATCCAAATTCAATTATTACTTGTTTTGAGCTTTGTCTTACATTTTTGCTTTGTGATTTTTTTTTGATCTGGTAGTTACATGAGTTAATTTGCTTCTTTGGTCTTAAACCTAATAGCGTCACACAACTTGACAGTGAACCTCACAGACTTTGCAGGCATCACATACAAGAATACAAATTGTGTTGTTCCATTTGTTGGCTGACTTGTTTTTGACAACCAAAGAATTTAATTTCTAACTTATTCCATAGAAGGCGATGTCATATCTTTCCTCACATATACGTGCATATGTGTGATGCAGGACAAGATTATATACTTTCCAGAGAGCAGATTTTCACAAGCTGGCTCCGGCATCATGCGTGTGCTCATCTTCATAGCTTTCGACTCCCAGGACTGCACTGACCGTCAGTGCCAATGGGCAAGTTCCCATTTTGTTCTGCTTACTTAACTAGAATTGGCTATTATCATGTAAAATTTTGGGGGATTTAATAAACGAAGCTGTGCCAGGTTGTCTTGAGTGACCTGTTATTGATTAAGGGGGGAAGCCAATCATCTTCCGTAATTTTGCACTCATTTTGCTTCTAGAGGACTGGGTGGTTTCTGAGACCTTTAGACCCCAATCTGTAACACTGGAAGGTGTGGAGCCAGGAAGATTACAGAAACCGAACGAGGGACTATTGGGAGTTGTAAATGGCAGAATTAAGGAAAAAACTCCTGGATGAAGTCAGGAAGGGAAAACTAAGAATTATCTGAAGAATTTGGAAGGAGGGAGGCTATGTGTTAGGAAAAATCTTAAGATGAGCCTCTCTGCCCATGCAAAATAACTCAAATCAGACCAGATTAGGCCAAGTTAAAGATGCCCACATTTAATAAATGCAGCGCTCCCGGGTGGCACGGGAGCATGGCGGGGAAAGAAAGAGGGGAGGCCACGTAAACCCCAAGACCATGTGTTCCTTTTTCCTGGCTTGAGCCTAAATAGCCTCTGGGAGGGGTCAGTATCTGGTGGCTTTCCCAGAGGTCAAGTCCAGACCAAGGCAACTCCGGGGGGGGGGGGGGGGTTGAAATGGAGCATTCCGCACCATTTGCACCCCTAGGATGGATACCAAGGACTGGAGTGCTGCTTCCAATCACTATGGCTTAGTAGTAGTGTGTTTGCCTGACACATCCAGGACTCTGGGCTCTATTCCTACTCCCTTCCTGTCCCCCTTTTTCCTCTCCCCACGATTTGCTCTCTCATCAGGGATGACAAAGAATGAATGAGCAGGTGTGGGCCAGCGCTAAGGACATAGCATGTCCAAGGCCCTGAGTTTAATCCTACCGTTAGGAGGGAGACACATAAGAATAGAGAGACAAGAGTGCAAAGGAAGTTCATTCATGAAATTCATGCTAGCATCTTGTGAATGCTTATCAACATCTGGGGGACCCTGTTTTAAGGCTTATTTTAGGAATAGAGAAGACGGGGGGCTGAGAAGATGCCTCAGTCAGTAAAGTGTTTGTCACACAAACACGAAGACCTAAGTTTGGATCCCTAACACCTACATAAAAGCAGAGCATGGTGGTACACATCGGTAACCCAAGCATAGGGGTGGGGGAAAACAGAGGCAAGCATGTCCCTAGAATTTGTCGGCCAACGGTCTAGTCAAATCAGTGAGCTCCACGTTTAGTGAGATACTCTATCTCAAAAAAGACAGTGGGAGAGATTGAGGAAGCTACCTGATGGATCTCTGGCCTCTCCATGCAAACAATACACATGTAACCACATACTCACACATGGACACAGTTGCACAAAACCCAGATATGGTTTAAGGAGTTTTTTCTGTATCTAGCTAGTATGTTTAAGTGTCTCCAAGTCACTAAAACTCCCTGAGAATTAGAAGGGTACAGTTGTCCACTCAATTGACTCTCTCATCAAGAAATCAGTAAAATACTGGAACCCTTCAAAGCAAAAGAAAACAAACAGCAAACCACGTGGAAGCCCACAGGGTGCTTCACCTTCCTACTGATGTACAACAGCAGACCACATAGATGCTCACGAGGTACTTCACTCTTTTTTGATGCACTTACTTCAGTTTTTCCCACGTCTCTTCACCAAACTTCTCTGTCACAAGAGACTGCAGACAGGTGTTGATGAATCCATACTAGAACACAAAAGGAGAGAAAATTTGGAAAATGAAGCATGCCACCTTAGGCCTAGCTTTTTTGTGGGTATCTGCAGGTGGGCGTGGCCCTCGGGAGCTGACTGTGGCTTTTCTGCGGTTCTCTAGTCACTGAGTACTAGCTATCACCCTTTCCTGGTGGAGGGAAAACTGAGCAGCCAGGGGCTGGTAGAGTGCATACAGGGATCGTGGGAGCCGGAGTTCCGATCTTACATCTTCAGAAGGTGTTTCCTGCTCCTTGGGGCCCCACTTTGAATAGGAAGTTTCTTTTGTTAGATGAAGGGTTCAAAGGTGTTACATTGAACATTGGAAGACTAAGGGTACACACTTCACATCAGGTCCAAGAAATTACTAAAAGTACAAATTGTTTTTTCTTTATGAAAATGAATCTAGGGACCAGAGAGATGGCTCAGAGGTTAAGAGCATCTACTGTTCTTCCAAAGGTCCTGAGTTCAATTCCCAGCAACCACATGATGGCTCACACCATCTGTAATGAGATCTGGTGTCCTCTCCTGGCCTGTAGGCAGAAAAATGCATATATAATAAGCAAATAAAGTCTTTAAAAAATGAATCTAGGAACAGAGGCCACCGCTCGCTGCTTACCATGATGTCCAGTGATGTGTCTCCAGGAGCAAGCTGCACACCCTGTGTCCTGGTTTGTTGAGTCTCTGGAAGCTGTCTTGCAGCTGTGGAGATAATTCCACAATGAAGTTAGAACTAACCACGGCCTTCTGCTGAACCCGGCCCAGGGACTAAAAGGCTAGGCCGTTGCTGTTGGGAGCAATAGGACCTGCCACCTGCCACCCCGGCGGGGTGCACATCTCCTGAGCTAAGCTCTCAGGAGTTAAGTGTGAAGCCTGAAGCATCCCCCTGAGTGTCAGCACAGTAGCCTGGTGCCATGCTCTCCCCATGGAGGCTGTAGCCCATACAGCAGAGACTGGTAGAACTCCAGGAGGCTGGCCAGATGGCCTTGCCACTTGTGTGTGGCAAGTTGGGAGACTTGAAGGGAAAGAGAGCCACAGTCCTGCCACACCCTCAAGACTCTGGTGATTGGTGACTCTTCGTGCTGGTTCTGCCGTGTGTGCCCTCCCTCCATAGAGGATGGCTGGTGTCTTCCTTCCTTCTTTCCTCCCTCCCTCCCTTCTTTCTTTCTTTCTTTCTTTCTTTCTTTCTTTCTTTCTTTCTTCCAAGACAGGGTGTTTATGTAGCCTTGGCTGTCCTGGAACTCACTAGATTGACCAAGGTGGCTTTGAACTCAGAGATCTGTCTGTCTCCGGCCCCTAAATCCTGAGGTCAATGGTGTGCCTGGTTCATTCTGAGAAACAGACGCAGAAATTCCTGTCTGCTGTTTGACAGAGCCGCTTTGCACACAGCGTGTTTGAGGACTGAGGAAAATGGGGACTCACTGCAGCAACGCTGTTTCTGGACGCCAGGTCACAAGCACATTCCCAGAACCCTGAACTTGGCTTCAAGAGGACCCCTGCATCCCTCAGGAAAGCGGCCTCTTACAGGAGAGTCTCTGCTGGGAGGCCTCTAATGAAACCCCTTTGGGTGACATCCAAGAAATGCCTGCCTCGGCCAGCACTTGACCCTGTAATGCTATCGATGTGGCGTCCCCTGGGGCCTGAAAACTTTCTTCTCCCACTGAACCACTGAATCACTGCTATATTGAGGGCTCAGGTAAGCTGTTGGCCTGAAGTCTACTTCCTGAGTGTCTCTTGGGGTTACAGATGAGAAATCCAGCCGCTAACGGGATCCCATGAGTGTTGCCTGAGGCTGTTCCAGCAGACCTGGTAACTGTGGTGCAAACACAAGAGGACGGATAAATAAATGCAATAAACTGAAGGAGGAGGGTGTGTTAGACCCTCCTGGACACACAGCATGGAGGTCAAATGTGACATTCAGTTAAGACAGCATCTCATGACCTTGGCCATGAGGAGGCTGCGCTGGTTCACTGACGTCTGTCCAGACAGACCCTGGAGCTCTCCTGAAGACAACTGGCCATGGGTCTCAGGAGCTCCAGCCTGGCAAAGGGTGGGTACCCCTCACATTCTCCTCTCCAGAGCCCCCTCCCACACAGCTGCAGCTTCCCTGAGAAAGCTATCATGGCATCCCCATCGTTGACTTCCTCCGGCTCCTTGATCCCCTCACTTCACTCTCGCCATCCACTCTACAGAGAGGCCAGACCCTCAGGGACACCAGGACCCCGGGAAGCCCCTCCTCACTACAAAATAGTGATTTTGCAGATTTGCAAAAGCTCGGTGACTCCAAGCTGCTCCTATGTGGAGGGGACATGTGGTCCTGAGAAACTGCCTCCAGAGTAGACAATTTCCATAATTACGCTCCCCAGACCCTTCCCACCACGTTCAGCTGACAGCTCTTTCGGCCCTGCCAAATGGGCTTGCTCGGGCTCCCCCTTTTAGCCCACACCCCCCACTCTGTTTCTTCAAACATACAAATACTCACACTTCACAATAAGTAAATGGTTTTCTTAAAAAAAAAAAACCCTCCCCCTTTCTTTTTCATGAAGCAGATGGCTGGTCTCAGGAACTTGGTGGGAATTAGGCTTTCTGATTTTCTAATAATTTTCAGCATCTCGCACAAAAAGCACAAGCTCATTTTCATTCTGATGTTAAGTACCATATGGCCCATCATCCGTGGAACATGGCAGCTTCATAACCAGAGTAATGTGGAAGGGAGGAGCTTCCTTACGAGGCCAGTGTGAATGAGCCAATCGGACTCAAGGGCGACTGCCATTTGATAATAATATTGTATATGGCAGAGGCCTAATTATCCCTCTTTTATGGTATGTGTTAATTTTCTCTGCCAGTTTCCCTAATTACAACTGCCACCCAAAGGACGACTCTTTGTAAATACTCCGTAAACATTTGAAAAGACAGTGTGTGCACGGAGAAAGCCGTGCCCGGGTTGCGGAGCTGTCGAGAAGATTAGCTGACATTTCATGTGTTTGTCAATTGCTCAAGCAGCCAAGAAGGACTTGTTACTGTATGGAAAGAGCCCTTCCTTTCCCATGACATCATGGGCGTCCTGTATATTCTGGGACCACTGTTTTGAGGGACAGTTTTGGTTTTTTTTTTTTTTTTTTTTTTATGGTTGCCTTTTGTTACTCTGAAGTGAACTGTCCCGCGAATTCTGGCAAATGTATATGCCAGCATTATTCAGACCCAGATATAAGAGTGTCTCTATTGTCAAGCAAGTTCCCTTGGTGCCCCTTCTCTGCCAGCTGGTCCCCAGCTTTCCACTGCTCTCTTCCATGGACTTGGGGATGGTTTTGCTTGCTCTCAAACTCGACACGCACTGGGTCATAAAGCACGCCTTCCTTCTGCTGTGTCTGCCATTTTGACGTTTTGCTCCCTTCCCAGTACACTCGAATCGGACATTATCCTTTCTTTTAAGCGGACATTTATAAACACAGCTTCATCAGGTGCACTTCTGGTACGATGAACGCTGACCCAGCACGACAATCTTATTGTTATGTGCAACGAGAAACTTTCATTGTTCATAGGACAGCGGGGACAGGCAAGATACCATACACTCAAGTAAACTTTAGCTATTGTTTAAGAATATAAATTAGAAGTATGTATCGGGGGCAAGGATCAGCGCAAAAGCCCCACCCTCAGCTGGTTTTGTTGAGTGTTTTACATGTGCATTTGTCTAGCTTTGTGTGCTTCTTGATCTCCCCTGGCGTGGCTAACACCTCAAGGTGGCTTGGGTGGGGATGCCTAGGCTGAAGGTATATCTGGGGTTAAAGCCAGAGTTTCAAGTCAGGCACCAGGACTGGCTGGTGGCCCTAGCTAGTTGGGAGATTGTTTTACAATAGATCAGGCAGTGGAACAAGAACCTGTCAAAACCGAACACTGTTATGTCAGAAGACTGGTGTGAATGGCGCTTGTAATCTCACCGCTAGGATGGCTAAGGCAGGGGGATGAGGAACTCAAGTCAGGAAGACCCTGTCTCAAAACAAATGAATGAAAACCAACAAACCAAAGGCTCCAAATTTCTTTCAGTTCTATTCCCAAAGTTATTAATTCAGCATTCAAAAGCCAGGGGAACCAATACCGGCAAACCAAGCAGTCTGTTTCCTTAAATGCCCACAGGGTGCTTTAGACTGGCCACACCAGCTGTGGAAATCATTGGGTTTTTTTTTTTTTTTTCTGCACCCCCCCCGCACTGCACCTGGCACCGCGCACTCGGCTTGGTTTACGATAAATCACACAACACTGCCGGGTTTGCTCCAATGGATATGAGCAACGTCCTTCTGGTCTGCCTAATTCCCTTTCCTCCTTATAAGGACCTTGTAAAGTTGGTCCTCTAATTAACACACACACACACACACACACACACACACACACACACACACACACACCCCGAAAGATGAAAACGGGGTAGAAGAGAAGTCAGAGGCTTTCTTGAGGCTGCTGCCCCCTTTCTTTTACAGTAAAAGCTTAGGGAATCAAGTGATGTCCCCTTCTCTAGCAAAGTCAGCTATCAGGTCTTATTGGTCCGTTTTCCCTCTTCTAACAAAGAAAGATGGGAGTTTTGATTTGCACGTGGACCGAGGCTTGGGTTTCAGCACCTAGTCCTTTCATTTCACATCAGAGTCTTCGCTTGGGACCCAGGAAACCAGCGAGAGCGTAGGCTTTTTCCACAGTGAGGCCACCCACTCACGAACCCAGATCGCCTCCCTGCGGACTCGCGCCCACACTACCCGGATATCACTTCCTTTCTTCGGTTGCCGTTTATTTTCAGCCAGCAGCGGACCGGGAATTGTTGGGCGTGGAGCGCCACCATGTGGCCAAAGTCGTGCACCCAGGCAGATCCTTAAGAGGGTTGCGGGGGTGTGAAGTTGGCTCCAGCTACACATCCTTGATCACCAACCTAAACTGGGGCTAGTATCTTCTCCAGGCCACCGTCCTTTAACTGCAGTGCTACACACAGAAACAGGCTTGAGAGGTGGTTATAAATCTAAATGTACCGTGACATGCAGGGGCTCATTTAAGACCAACTTCAGCTTCCTTTAAGTTTAATTGAATCTGATTCACTTGATAAAGTAAAAGCCACCTGCAAAACACATAACCCAACTGTCACGTTGCAGACAACTGACTGTCGCTTAGATACGGGTGCTTTGAAAGCCCGGAAAATGTTAGCCGCAATACTGACCATTCCCACTGTGCCCCAGCCGCTGCCGTGAGGACCCAGGCACCATCCAGACATGATTCTGCATCAGGAGCTGGGGCCCCGCAGCAGCCCTCCGCAGACACGTGACTTTGGAGAGCCCACTTTCACCACAAGTTGGTACCCTGTCTTCCTGAAAGTGGTTTTCTTAGTTGGTTCTTCCTTCAGCGATGCTTAGAACATTCTTGGAAGTTTTATTTCACTACTGTTTAAGTGTGTGGCAAAAATTAATAGCCTAGGCGATAATTAATCCAGCTTCATTATAGCCAGTTAATGATATGGACAGGCCTTGCACTTAGACAAGTAATGATCACTTAATCATCACCTTAACGCTCTAAGTTAGAAGTGTTAAACCACACATGTGAGGTGCACTGTCTTTCAAGCGCCGTTACAGCACAGGAAGTCTGGGTCCAGCCTGGGTCTGA